TTTGTTATTAGCAGGATTGTCCTGCTGACTCTGCTCTAGTTGTTGTAAATGTTGTGCCAGCATATCAGTCATGAGTCTCTCTTCCTTTCTCAGGTGTGCATAATGAAGCTTCCTCTGATGACTGCCTTTGCTGTGTCCCTTAAGTTTTGGTATGTCGTGTGTTCATTCTCGTTGGTTTCTATAAATTTCCTAATTTCATCTCTGATCTGTGCCAGTACACACTCCTTTTGCAGTAGAGACTTATTCATCCTCCAATTGTTTGCTCTAGCTTTCTTTGTCTTCCGTTTGTTGATTTCCAGCCTTATGGCACAGTGGTCAGAGAGAAGTCTGTATGATATCAATGTGCTTATATTTATGTAGATTTGCCTTATGCCCCAGCATGTGGTCTATCTTTGAATAAGTGCCATGTAGGCTTGAATGTGAACTCCTTTGTATTTTGATGAAAAGCTCTGTAAATATCTATCAGGTCAAATTGTCTAATTGCCGTCTTTAGATCTCTAGCCTCCTTGTTGAGTTTCTTTCCCTGTGATCTATCTTTCTTAGAGAGTGGTGTGTTGAAGTCAGCCACTATAATTGTTGAGGCTGTGGTTTCTTTTTTGATCTTTTGGAGTATTTGGTTGACATATTCAGCGGGCCTCTCATTTGGGGAATATTTGTTTACAATGCTTAGTGGTTCTTTGTCTACCATTCCCTTGAGTATTATATAGTGTCCCTCCTTATCTGTTTTTAAGGTTTGCACTTTGAGGTCAATTTTCTCTGAGATTAGGATTGAAACCCCTGCTTTTTTTTAATTGCTGTTTGCTTGGTATGACTTTCTCGATCCTTTGATTCTCAGCCTATTTTTGTCTGTAGCCTTGAGATGTGTCTCCTGTAGGCAGCAGATTGCTAGGTTGTGTTTTCTAAGCCAGTTTGCTAGTCTCAGTCTTTTAATGCCCAAGTCAGGACATTGATATTAAGTGTTATCTCCATCTGCGGACTCTGTGATGTCATCTTTTACCTTTTTTCGTTGAGAGTTTTCCTACTTTCCTTTCTCATTAGTGTGTTGTGCATATTTGTGTGTGTGTGTGTGTGTGTGTGTGTGTGTGTGATTCTTGGCTTCTTTCCATCCTTAAGTGAATGCTATCTTGGGGTCTGTTTTCGCTTTGTTGCCCTCTGCTTGAGGTTGTTCTTTGTGGCGGTCTCTTATTTATGCTTGGTGAGTGTTGTTCTTCTGCCCATAGTGGGTCGGCAAGGATCTTTTGTAGGACTGGGTTTCTTTTATATATTCTTTGAGTTTTTCCTTTCTGGGAAGACTCTTACTTCTCCATCTTTCTTGATTGATAATTTGGCTGGGTAGAGTATTCTTGGGTTTGCGTTGTTTACCTTCAATTTTTGGAATATGTTACTCCACTTTCTCCTCTTTTTCATAGTTTCTGCTGATTGGTCTGGGCATATTCTTATTTGGGAACCTTTATATGTGATTGCTTGTTTTTCCCTAACTGCTCTGATGATTTCCTCCTTTTCCTCAAAGTTGGATAGTTTAACTATTATGTGCCTTGGTGACTTCTTCTTGGGATTCAGTCTGGCTGTTGCTCTTTCAGCCTTGTGAATGGTTGCCTGGTTTTCATTCATTAAGCTGGGGAAGTTTTCCTACAAGAATTCGCTCACTATTGCTGCAGATGACTTCTTTGTTGTGTCTTCCTCTGGTGAGCCCATAATTCTAATGTTGTTCTGCTTCTTAGGATCAGACATAACTCTTAGGTTTTCTTCAGCTTCTCTGATGATCTTATTAGATTCTTGTTCACGTTTGTTGAAGTCTGCTTGGCTGTCCTCCAAGTCACTGATGCGGTTCTCTGATTCCTCCAGTCGCCTCTCAAGGTCTGTGTTTCTGCTATTGGTTATTGTTATCTCCTCCCTAAGCTCATGTATTTCCCTTTGATGTATGGCCTTTATCTCCTCTATCATTTCATCCTTTTTCTGTGTGACTCCAAGCAGCATTCTGAAAATTTCTTTCTGTGGCAGCTCAATGGCTGCTTCTTCTATGTATGTTGTTATGTTTGGGATATCTTCTGCCATTGCCATTTGTTTCTCCTTTTTTTTCTTGTTGAGGTCGTTGGAGCTGATGGCTATCTGCGTTGCATTGTTTTGGAGGAGCCAGGTGCCATTTTCCAGGGAATCGAAGGGCACTGGCTCTATTTGGGGGATGTGTAGGAATCCTTCGAACTGCCTACAGCTAATTATTACGATGGGATTAACCTACCCCTTTATCTTCCTGTGTCTTCCCAATCAGGGAAGTGTCCCAGAAGGCTGGTTGGTTGCCTGCTTTGGGGTTGCAGGAGTTGGGCAGAGGTTCCTGCAACAGCTTGTAATGTTGATGAGTGTTGGCCGGGCTGCATTATGTCCCCAGGTACACAGGCAGGAATTCCCAGGTGAGAAGTTGGGCAGAGTATTCCCTGAAGGGAAATCAGGGCTTTCCTTAGCCTCGAGGGTTTGTTTCACCGGGTGGAGCTCACCTAGCTGTGTGTGGTGCAGGCAGAAGTATCCTAGGCTCAGGCGAGTCGTCTGAAGGTCGCAGTGGAGTGTGAAAGAACAGGAAAGAGACAGAGGATAAAGAGAAAAAAAATAAAAATAGGAACGTTTAGACTGTGCAGGGATTATAGGGGACAGAGGGAAAGAAAAGCAACTATGTAGCTGAGTCCCACTCCCCTTCAGTGGAGCTGCAAGAGTTTAGTCCCTACCCTGAAGCAGCGGTGGCAAGCCACAGTTGAGAAGAGAAAAAGCCCCTGTGCAGCCCTCAATGACCGTGGGGGTGGGGACAGAGAGCAGTCATGTAAACAGAAGCAACAATGTAGCTGAATCCTGATCACTGCCCATGGAGCTGCAAGGGCTTAGTCCCCACCCCGAGACAGCGGTGGCAAGCTGTGACTGTGCCGAGAAAAAGTCCCTGTGGAAATAGAGGAAAGAGCTGGGAGGCAAAGGGTATTTATAGAGCTCTAGATAAAGACATGTACATATACAAGTATATGAGGATGGGGAAATATATCTATGAGCCTACATCTATAGGTTTAGTGTTAAGGTAGCAGAAGGACATTGGGCCTCCACTCAAGTACTCCCTCAACACAAGAATACTTTCTTCTAGTAAATTGGCATTCTATGATGCTCACCTTC